CTTCGTCACTTTACACATATTTCAATAAGTTAAAAAAACAACCCAATCTAATCCTGTCTTACCAAGCTTCTGAGTTAATCGATGGAACACTAAATACACCCCAATGTATAAAAATGCCCACTTTTGATTGATCATACCAACTAGGTAATGGTCTTGTATCAAGTGATGACCATTCAGGTAAATAAGATGAACCAGAAAATACAAATATCAAAGACAAATCAATCAAAATAACATATAGACGAATGTTTTTCATTGTCTACAAATAATTATTAAGATTTTTATAAAAGTCCAAAAAAAAACATTTGTATTTCATTTCGATTGTTCAATCATAAAGTGTTTTTTTTTTTTCAAAATAAAAAAAATGATTAGAATTATGTTTGTTTAGTTAATGGTGAAATTAATATAACACCATCACCACGTACGAATAACATTGGAATTTGTCGTTTTGTTGGCTACAAAAAGAGAAGAAAAACAAAACAAGTTAATAAATCAAATTTACTTTTTGAAATTTACTCGATAAATTTGTTCAAAAGTTTCTTCATCAATTTCAATTGTTGTTATTGTTTCTTCAACATCACCTAATACCATATTTAAATGTTGATCAAAACCCTAAAGTTATTCGAAAAAGACGATAAAATATACTTTTTCCTACGTTTTATTTTTACATGAAGACGACCCCGTAATTCCCTTTCATTACGCATTTTAACAAATACTCTTTCATCCAGACTTAATCGTACTAAATCAAGTGGTTCTTCAATTGATGTTGTTGGTTTCTATATTCATAAAAAAAAAATATTTAAAAAGCTAATCTGAATGAAAAAGGACAATCTGTACCTGATCCGCTTCATCGCTCATTTTTTTTATTGTTTGTTAAGTTACTATTATTATTCTCATGACAAAATTAGTGACATCTATCGAAACAAAAGTGTAATTTCTAAATTAAATGAAGAATTTAATAAAAAAAAAAATTTCTAGAAAAACTATATTATTTTTTATGTAAAACAATTATTGATGAGTGAATATTGATTTTTTTTGATTGGAAGAAATTCGACAAAAAACGAGAAGATAAGGAGGATATAGATAAATGACACCAGAGCAACATGGCATTAGCATTTTCGTATTGAAAAGAAAAACGATGAAATAAAATATGTTATTCTAATGGTAAACCATTTAGATTTCTCGAATGGTGTCTATTAACGGTATTGACGAGACATAGACAATAAGAAAGAAATATATTTAATCTTGTCGTGGCTAAAATTTAAAATCGGTTTGTCCTTTCTTTTTTTTTTTCTTTTGTATACAACTTAGTTTTTAAAGATCAAAAGTGGATCCAAGTGGATTCCAACCTAGTCTTATTGACTCACCTGGCCCAGGTGGAATTTGGCAAGGTCCACCACATCCATCATCCCTACCACCTCCTAATCATCCAGGACGGTTTTCTTCACTCATGCCTCCACGTGATCTGCATTTTCCGTACGTTGATTTGCTTTTCTTTTTTTTTATTAATAATTTTATTTTTTGCATTAGACCACAACATATGAGACAATTTCGACCTTCATTTCCTCCTCCGATTTCACCAGAATATCGTATATATGATTTAAATAAACGTTTATCTATGAGAACAGAAGTAATATTTAAGAAAATTTATTGTTTTGAAAAAAAAACAAAATATAAGAATTTTGTCTTAGGAATGTGATGGTACATGGTGGGATTCATTTGTAAATGAATTTTTTGAAGATGATGCTACATTATCAGTATCAATATGTTTAGAAGATGGACCAAAACGATTTAGTATGAATATTTCTTTGAAATAAAAACAAAAAAATTTTTTTTTTATTTAATTTTAATTAAAGATATTGGACGTGTTTTAATTCCTCGATTTTTTCGTACATTATTTGAAGGTGGCATTAGTGAAGTTAATTTTTTATTAAAACAATCAAAAGAAATATTTCATAATCCAACTATATCAATTGATTGTGAACAAGGATCATTAATAACTTGTTTTGGAAAACCATATTACATGAAAGTAAGAATATTCAAAAATTTTTATAATATATTTATTTATTTTTTTATTATCTATAGGTTTGTACTGAAGGACATTTTAATATTGAATTTACATTTGATGATTTAATGCGTATTAAATCATGGCATTTTGCTATAAAACAACATCGAGAATTAATTCCACGAAGTGTTGTTGCCATACCGGTATACATAATTATATATATATATATAGAGAGAGAGAGATCTTTTCAATTTAAATCTCAACAACTTTAAAATATTTCATAGATAATTATTTCTATACGTTTTAAGAATTCAGTATAACTTGAGTTTTGATAGAACACGAAACTTCATTTTGTGTATATTTGCATTGAATGCTTACTACTGATAAACATATTTTTACACCTTTGAAAAAGTAAATTCTACGGAATTTTCTTAGAAGGTACTTTCTAATGTGTTGACGATTTTTGTACAAGTCTTTTGAAAGGTTTTAAAATACTGTATAGTTGCATTAAACTCATTGTAGATTGTCATCTTGATTTTGATGTCGTTCGTCTTTCGCTAGCAAATGAGCATTGTCTCAATGATTATTCTCCGGTATTATGAGAAACAAAAGCTTAATAGTATTGGTTTTTGACGAGGATAGTTCTTCAATAGATTAATCACTTTTTTCAGTCAGAACTGCAGGCATTATGTAGGTTCGAATGCGTTTCGAACTCTTGATTTTCAAATTTCAACTTATATCGAATCTGCTAATGATTATAAACAATATAAAAGATACACTTTTATCATAGTCATAACTTAGAATGGAAAAAAAAACAAAAAGACTTTAAACTCTCACAATAAACAATTCTTGTTAAGATCTGTCTCTGTATAGAAATTTGAAAATCAGTTTTGTTGGAGTTCTCTTTAAAATATGGGATGTCTTCGCAGTAATAAGTCAAGAGCAGAACTCGTTTAAAGATATTTATAATTTTCTTGATTCACTTAGACTCGACTGAAAAGTGATTATTAAGTTCGCAAATTTTTCTTCTTAGATTTGAGAATCACATGTTGCATAGAATTCTGTATAGAAACTGTTGAAATATCGAAGATACGAAACTTTTCTTATCTTCATTATAATTAAGAAAACTACTATAGAAAATTTATGTTTAGACCGATAATCCAATGTATCTTGATCAATTATCAAAAAATCTTACTCGTAATGGATTAACATTAGCAATGTTAAATTTTCTCAGGGTAAAAAAAAAAAATTGATTTTCATCTATTTAGAAAATAAATTTTTCATATATCTCTATATATATTAGTTATGTGAAATTCTTGAACCAATGCAAGAATTAATGTCTCGCCATAAAACTACAACATTTTCTCCTCGTGATTGTTTAAAAACAATATTACATCAACGTTGGTCAAAAACTTGTTCAGGTATGAATAAATAAAATTAAAACTAAAAGAAAATGTTTTAATTATTAGATAATCGACAAACAGCAAAACCAAGACGAAAACGAAAAACTGCAGCAGTTAATAATACTAATTTACCACCTACTAAAGAATCTAATATAAATAATTGTACAACACCAACAAAAAAACGTTCACCTGCTAATAATATTTATTCTCAACCTTCAACACAAACAATAAATAATATGCCAGGAGTAGGAGAATTTCGATAATTTTTATTTTTTTTTTTGAAATAGTAAAATATAATTATAGGATGTAATGATTGTTGGTGAACCATCATTAATGGGTGGTGAAATGGATGATGAAGATGAACGTTATATAACTCGACTTGAAAATACACAATATGATCCAAATGCTCTGTCATCACAATATCATTCTCCTATACATCAAATGTCTCAAGGATATCAACAAAATCCAAATCTACAATCATTACTTCATCAAAAACAACAATTTATACCGAATTCTTCACAACTTTTAAATCCAAATCAAATTAAACGAGAACAAATATTTCCTGGATCACCACAACAACAACAACAATTACCATCAATGTTTTCAAATAATCCACCGCCACCACCATTAACAACAACTAATGGTGAATTATCAATAGCTGGAAAAAGAATTTCAGCTACAAATAATAATTCTCCACAAACACCGTCAGCTAATAATCAGGTTTGTTTCTATAGATTTACATATATGTTAAATGACAAGAATTCGTATGAAAATGCATATATTAAATTGTATGGAGGAACAATTTTTTACTGGAAAAAAAAATCACTTATAAAAATCTATTGAATAGTTACTTAGACTATAAAGCTCATAAATCAAAAAAAAAAGGCAGAATATGAGCACGCCATATCTGTCTGAATAATAATTAATTATTGATAAGAATGCTATTAAGTTTGAATATGTGAGATATTTCAGTGCGTTTGCCTTACATGAACATAATTTCATTGTTTAAAGGACTTTTCTTTCACAGTTATAGTTTACAATATTCGAAAGTATCATATCATTATACATTGTATGATAATTCGATAATGTCCTTATATGAACTCTAGAACAACAGTTATTTTTATCAATGAATAATATTTATTTCTCGAGGTCAACGAGTTCACATCTATTTTAGATCTGAGAAACTTTTGAAAATGTACTCAAATATGTTCGAGAAAAATTTTTGCTCTCTTATTGAAATATTGTTTGTAATAGCGAAAAAAAATTTTCGGATAGATCAGTTCAGGTTAGTGAACTATTGAAACAGCACAGAGTGATTATAAATACTTTCTACTAGTTGTCAGCATAGGGTTTTTTTGTTCTATTATGCAAATGTAACTACAGAACTCATTCGTTACGTGACATTAGCGCCTGAAAAATGATAAAATTTAGTTCAAATTTTGAGGGTACTTTCGTTTTTCTTGTAAACAGACGGGTGTATTAAAAAACCGATTGTATCATTTCGTAACTGTTGAAGAGATACGTTGAATAATCTTTGTTGCGACTAAACACCGGTAAAATTCAACGGTTTCAAAAATTTACTCGAAACCACAGCTTTGATTACTAGAAATGAGAGTTACGATTCGATTCTCAACATATGACGTGAAAACAAAACGATTAAATTATTAAATAGATGTGAAAATGTTCACTATTATTTTATCAAAAATTTATTTTGTTATTACAGAATTGTTCAACTCCAATTCCTCCAACTACAAATGCTCCAAGCACTCCTATAAATTCCTCTTGGAATGGTTCTACTACAAATACTAACAATTATTCTTCATCATTAACAACTAATCAAGTTATAGCTGAGAAAAAGCAAGAACCTCATACACCACCAGTCACATCACAACAAACAATAATAACAGCCTCATAAATAATAAAAAAAAAATCAATCTCTTATATTTTCTCATTTTGAAAAGAAAAAGCCAATTGTATGTCTTTTCTTTCTCTGTAAAAAGTTCTTTTTTTTCTTTTGCGATATCATTAGTTTAGATGTTTTCTTTTTTTTTTGCTCTCTCTCTCTCTTTCTAAATTGTACATTTGTTGTATTCCTCCCTTTTTTTCTCTCCATGCGCATTCCAAAGATCTGTCTGTGAGTTTTAAACTGATATCGTTTCATTAATTCGATAGAACAACGTTTAAATTTCCTGTTTCTTTCTTTATTGCATTTCTTTTTGTGTATGTGTTTTTAATGCTGTATGCATTCGTATGTGTCACAAATAACAGTGAATATACAAATATTCTCTCTTCTTTTTTTTTTCTTTCTTTTGTGTCATTTTTTCTCAATGATAATATACGAATGATGATGTTTGTTTTTTTTCTTTTTTTTTTTTTTGTTTTTCTATTATCTTTATTTAAAATTCTTATACATACAAATATATAAAATAGCATCTATTGATGTTTGCTTT